TTATTTCCACCTCTAAGAGTACCACTAACATTTATATCTTGACCTATACACACAGACATCCATGTGAAATCATATTGTGCAGGCTGTTTACTAACCTACTTAAAAAAAAAAACCTCTACCTTTTCCTGTTAATAATATTTCTTTCTAAAATATACTCCATACTCAAGCTTCTCAACTATCCCAAAATGTGATTTACATTTGTCCAAATCAGAATCCTATGCAAAAAAATGAACTGCATCTGACTGTTTTATTCATGAGTCTCTTTAAATCTAACACAATCAGGTATGATGATTTCTATTACGATGATTAGAACTTACTTAACTATAAAGCATATTGTAAAGGCCCATGTAAAGGCCATGTAAGTACATGATCTTTAGGAAGTTAGGTGATATCTGATATTGACACTATAACTTTAGGAGAACTGATGATTTAAATAAAGTGAAATTAAGGAGAAAAATAATTTCTGGGGAAAAAAAGAATTCTTTATGTACAATATTCTGCTAGATAATGTACACATTATTTTTCCATATTTTCTTAGGGCCAAACATATATTTGAGGGAGAAGCCAATGAAAAATTACAAATTTCCTCAGTATTTTAAAGATGTCAATGAAATTATCAAGATTTTCAAATGAGTCAAAGAGAACAAATATGTTAAAGAAAAAATGTGGTTAAACATCATGTATCAGGGAGATATCTCAAGTGGTTATATATTTTAACATATGGAACAATGAGCATAACTTTCACAATTCTTAACAACAAAAAAAGGTAAAAAGAGAACAACCCAGTGAACTAAGTAAAGTTCTTCTATAAAGGCTATTAAGAACTATAGAAGGGGGTCAAGTACTTCTGTAGTCTTATCATTCATTAAGAGATAGAAGCAAACAGTGGTTGATTGACCCTTGAAAAAGGAAGACTTTAGTGACAAACTTTACAGACTGTCACAATGACCCAATGGTGGTAATCCAATCCAGCCACTTCCTAGCCTTTTCCCTTATAGCAATTATTTCTAAAATCAGTAAATTTCATTCTTATTTTATTTAGTCTTCATCTTTCTTAGTATAGTTCTTAGTCTGGCTTTAAGAATCCCTTGAAACTATATAAAGAATATTGTGTGTCTGGGCATTTTTCTAGTAGGTGCATAGCTTCCAACAGATTCTCAGTGGGGTCCATAAGATGAAAAACCACTGTGACAGATTGGGAGCTAGACTGGCAATCATTCTAGCATATGCTATGATTGATATATAAAACACTGCCAACCCTCAGTTATAATGAATAACACTTTTCTAAAAGTGTCTTTCAAATTGCAAATTGTGACCCATTAGAGTCTAGGATTAAACAAAGAACAGAATCAACAAAAGAATAGACAATATCACACAGTGCATTGCATAAAATACTTTTGTTTCAGCTTTATATATGTGTCTGCTATAATGTGGGTTGTATTGTAAAATATATTTCTTACCATGGGTGATGGCCAACAAAGATTGAAAAATACTGCTCTAATGCCTGCTTATCTCTTGGTTTTTTGCTTTAAACCTTCTTGATATGCTACTTCTATGGAAATTTGGAACCAAAAGAGTTATGATGATAAAAATAATGATGATATGATGAGCAATATTTACTGAGTATTCACTATGTGCCAGGAAATATGTTTTACTTTTATGATCTCATTTAATTTGTATAATCCAATGAAATATTATTAGTCTCCACTTTATAGATGAAAAAACTTAGAGAAGTAACTTGATTTAGACCTATGTCTCACTGACTCAACACCCATGCTCTCTAAACTGCAAAAAAATAGATCTCCTAGATAATCTAAAAAGCTTGATAATCCATTTAAAGATAAAGATGAATTGAATATTATAATTCTATAAAGGTTCAGAGCCTTGATCCTGTGATGCTACATTGTTCTTGTCACTTACTTATTGTTTTGGTTTTGACTGATCCAGAATATTCTGCAAAAGTAGTTGTTTCTTTCTAGAGATAATTTTCTTTTTAAATTAAAAAAGTGTCTATTCAGGGGTGCCTGGGTGGCTCAGTCGTTAAGCATCTGCCTTCGGCTCAGGTCATGATCCCAGGGTCCTGGGATCAAGCCCCGCATCGGGCTCCCTGCTGAGCAGGGAGCCTGCTTCTCCCTCTCCCACTCCTCCTGCTTGTGTTCCCTCTCTCGCTGTGTCTGTGTCAAATAAATAAATAAGATCTTTAAAAAAAAAAAGTTTCTATTCAGATAGCAGACATATTGTATTTTATTAATTCCCAAATTTAAGGATCCCTTTAAATGCTCAATTAGTACAAAATTATAAGCAGCAAAGTACCATGTAAGTAAATCCTATTTACTTCATGGGTTTGTTGTGAGGATGCAAAATTTATTAAAAAAAAATTGTAAAAAACACTACCAGTAACTATCACAAAGTAAATGACAATAAATGTTTAGCTATTATTATCATACAAGAAGACAGGGAAGTCTACACAGTGTTTTGCTTAAATTCTTCCCTGCTTTGTAGTTTGTCCTTGGGGACTTTCCAAAATTTTGCTACTTCACTTTCTATAGTGAGAGGAATTTAAAGTGTTTCTAAAGCAGCATCTGTACAATGAAGTCATTCAGACAGCTCAGTTCAAAATTTAACTGAGCACCTAGCAGCTTCATCCCAAGGGTCATAAACACAAATGCTTACCACTCTAAAGATAAAACCTCAATGAAAGAGTGGGATGGCTAAAGGTGAGTAGGCGTAGGTTGTGTGAAAGGGGCACTCTATTTAAAAGTGGAAACCACCATTCAGTGACAAGAGATTTTATGCCACACAGGACTGCAGGATCACTATTGCTAGATTTTCAAGGGAAGTCAGAAATGTGGATGTCAACATGAAATTTCCTCATTTTTAAATGTGACACAAATTTAAACAAAACAAAACAAAACACTGTGGGCAAAACGAAACAAGTGTACAGGCTAACTCTAGCCCACAGTTTGCCACCCAGCTTTACTTTTATGCCATCACTCAGATACCAAGCTGACTGACACAGCCTACGTGAGACTGCTATCAACTATGGCCAGTGGGTAGGGAGAAAATCATAGAAAATTTATCTTCTGAAAGTTTAACTCTTCTTTTTCCTTTAGAAGCTTTGGAAACATGTATACTAGCTTTCTCAGAATAGTCTCTTGCTATTCTAAGAAAAAAATTTCACAGGAAGTCCTGAGAAACAAGCCTGTGTGGATAAAGGTTTAAAGTTAAGAACAAATATGGGGCGCCTAGGTGGCTTAGTCATCAAGCGTCCGCCTTCGGCTTGGGTCGTGATCCCAGGATCCTGGGATTGAGCCCCGCATCGGGCTCCCCGCCTGCTTCTCCCTCTCCCGCTCCCCTTGCTTGTGTTCCCTCTCTTGCTGTCTCTCTGTCAAATAAAAATAAAATCTTAAAAAAAAATCTTTAAAGTTAAGAATAATCAAAATATAAACACAGAAAGAAAAGTGAGTATGTTTATAGGACTTCAGGAGAAAATTTCCACTCATGACTGAAGAAGTAAAAAAGTCTTTCAATACAGATGATAAGTCTCTTTATTATAGGAATAAATATTTGTATTTGCTTAACTTTTTGATATGACACTATTGTTTCACAACTCCTTTTATGTTTATAGGGGCACGGCAACTTTCATGAGGGCAAGTTTCTCAAGTCAGCCCTTAAAGTGAAAATTTTTGTATAGTCAAAATTACCTTTGTACATCCTTTAAATTGTCATAAGGCACATGATTTTGTATATCCCATACCACTTCTCAGTAAGTTCAACACAGTTAATTTTTGCTCCATGATTGAATAGGTACTGTCTTGTTATGCATGAATGAAGCACAGCTGAAATTCTCAATTGTCAACCATTCAGGCCAGTTAGATGTGAATGACTGTAAAGTGTGATTTTGTAGAGGGGGAAAACACACCCAAAAAGCTAACCTCTACTGAGTATTAGAATAAGATAATGATTAAAATATCTACATAAGAGAGAGGCACTGGGTCGCTTCCATGCCTAAGAGAACCAGAGATTCAGAGAAAAAAGAATAGTCCTGTGAGCATCTTCCCAAACTACATAGGTACTTGCAAATAAAGATACAGTTTAGAAAAATAAAACAACATATTCAGTGTAGGATCTGTAACAGATTAAGAGTCTTACAGAAATAGTGCTATTTTATTCAGTAAACCAATACAGAGAAAAAATGCAGTGCTCTCACTAACAATTTCTGGTAACCTGAGTTTTAACCCCATTTGTAGGCAAAGAGAGCTAAGGTACTCAACCCTGTGGTAAGAAGGAGCTAAAGATATTTTATTTCTGGTCTACATATAGTCTCTAGTTTCTTTTCTGGGATGTAAATGCAATGACATATAGGTAATAATTTCAATTAGTTTTAATTTTCATTAAAAGTTAATAAACTAGCATGCAATTTATATGTAAATCAGTTCACTGGGACTTAACCATTTGTTTTCACAATTCTAAAGCTAAGGATTAGATATTAAAATCAAGGCAGATGTGTTATAAACAACAGGTATATGTTTACTACATAGTAAAATTATTTATTTTAATGAAATGCAATCAATCAAGAATTGATGACTACAAACTAGCCCCAGCATTATCTTTAAGCAGTCAACAGGCTCAGAGACGCTGATAAGTATGTGACTGTCACATTGAATGCACAGTTACGGAAAATGTTTTCTGTAGTTAAATCAACTGGTATAGTAACACTATTATGATAACTGAAAAGAAATTAACCTATACTATAGCCTGGTTCAGGAAATTAGAAGAGAAAACAAACTGGGGAAAAGGATATAGATTGTATTTATCATGACAACATGCTAATTTCAATAACCAGGCAGGTAGGATTGACTTAAAAGCTGTGTCAACTCACTAAAACCAAATGTTGGCTGGTAGCATAAATTGGCTCTCATTGTCAAAAGCTTATCATACAGCTTACAAGACAATCTAGCATTGCAAGATAAGCCACTGCAAGGTGAGCCATGACTTACCTTTATGGACTGGCACTGGTATAGGAACCGGGCTCCTGACACATGAGCTTGTGGGTTGGACTGGAGGCCTATATATGCCCATAATACCTGGATCTCCAGGGAAACTGGTATGACACAGCAGGAAGTACAACGCATAGCCTGTAGAAGGGTAAAGAAGCATCTGCTTGAATTGCTGATGGTTGCCTAGTCAGTTACCATGCATTAAGTAGCCACTGCTTCTTAAAACATTATATATAACAGAGAAGGTAATATGACTTAGAGAAAGAACACAAAAGTTCACAATAGATCATACTATTGTCTTAGATCTTAAAAAATTAATATTCTAAAATGGAAATGGGAAATGACTAACATAGAGATTAATAAAAATGTGAGCTCACGTACAATGGCTGTAAGAAGTGCTCTATGAGTGGTGCATAGTCAGTGTTGTGGAATGCCAGAAGAAATAGTCACTTCTGGTTGAGGATGGCTTCATGGGCCTGGGATGAGTAATATGTGACTGGAAGGAATGGTGATGATAAAGGAAATTCAGGTAGAGACATGGCCTATAAAAACATGTGCAAGTAGAACAGCACATGATGCCACGGAGGGACATTCATTGATTAATCTGAATAACAGTGACTGAGTGTCTTCTATGTGCCAGGTGTGATGGAGGCACTGGCCTTGAGCAGACCACTTGAGTGAAGCAAAGGATTTGGACACGGAAGCAGTGAAAGGTTAAGGAAGACATTTCAGGATTAGATTATGACATCCAACCAAGCAGTCTGACTCCAGGAGGATTAATTCTAAGAGGTAAGAAGGATTGATGGAAGTGAGTTACTATAACTTAGCACATACAAACTATCCTCAAATATGCCTTGTGCTTTTCCAGCTTCATACCTTTTTGTAGTAAAGCTCAGACACTGGCAATAACATATATAAACTAGGAATGGGGGAGACAGAACATATTTAAGTTTACTTTATTCAGGAATTATCAAACTGTTTTCCAAAGTGGCTGCACCATCCGCAGTCCCATCAACAATGTCTGAGGGTTCCAGTTTCTCCATATCCTTGACAACACTTGTTGGTGTCTATCTTTTTAAGTATAGCCATCCTAGTGGGTGTGAAGTGGTATCGCATTGTGATTTTGCATTTCCTTAATGGCTAACGGTGTTCAGCTTTTCATGTGTTTGTTCCAAATATTTTTAAACATCTTTCTTTTCATTTATTCTACGTTAGGAATACTTTTCTATGTTGACAAATCTTCTTTGAAAATGTGATTTTAAAATATAAATAGTAGGTTAAAGAAAAAGAAAAAGAATAAAGAATAGTTCCAGTATAATATCAACCTTGCCACTAACCATCCTCTTCCTACTATGCTCAGTCACAATTACCCCAAACCACAATTCCTTTGTAGGGCTATATGGGAGGTTTAAGAGAATTCAATTTGACTTCAGTTGCCCAAAGGCTGGATCAAGTACATGTGTTTACTTATCCCTCCCGTCTTCTTCAGAGGAACAAAGTGTATAAGGAATAAAGTCATAATAGTGCTGACGAAGGGAAAAAGGGCACTTCCAAAATAATTGCTAAGGAGAAAGGCCTTTTGAAGTCTGAACCAAAACTCAAAAGTTAAAAAAAAATAAATTGGTATCTTTCACAATATAAAAATCAGTGTCTGCATGGCAAAAAACCAAACCAAACCAAAACAAAACAAAAAACCCAACAGAAATGAAGTCAAAAGACTAATGACAAACTGGGAAAAAAATCTACAAATCATACCACAGAAGATTTGTATTGATTGTATGTCTCAAGATTCATTTCTCAAATTTGCAAAGATTTCCTATAAGTCATAAGACCAGTAATTCAATAAAAACAGGCAAGGAATATAAATAGATAATAGTGAATAAAATACAAATTGTTCAACCATATATCAAAATATAGTGAGAGAAAAATAAAACTATACTGGGATACTATTTTTCACTTATGAAAAAAGATTAAAGTTTCATAACACAGTGTTGATGAGGGTAAGGGGAAAAAGCAGTCTCACAGATGAATGATGGGACTGGATATTGTATGTATGGGGAATAAATTGACATTATTAAAATTTTAAATGCACATACCTTTGATCTAGCAATTCTACTTCTAGAAGTTATCATATAGGTTTATTCTCTCATGTACAAAATGGTGCCTGAGCCAGGTTACAAAATGCCACATTGTGTATAATAGCAAAAGACTGAAAACAAACTGAATGTCCACCAAAAACTCTGGCTAAATGAATTCTGGTTCATCCATGTAATGGAATACTATGCAGCTATATTTCCCAAAGAATGAAGAAGCATATTATGTACTGATAAGGAACAAACTCTAAGATCAAATGAAAAAAGGAAGGTGCAGAACAGTGTTTATGATATTATACCATTTGGATTAAAAAAAGTACAAGAGTATTTACTTGTGTGAGCATGCAGGATCTGTGGAAGGAAAAAAACTAGTAATTTCAGTTGCCTGTGTGGAAGGGAAGAGCTGTCTGAGAGATTTTTATTTTGTACTTTTTGAATTTTGAGCCAAGTGTATACATTACTTATACAGAAAAATAAACAATTGAAAATTAGAAAAGAAAATTAAAGGTATGGCTGACTACAGTGAGGAGATAGGGGGTAGGCAAAAGAGGAAGAAGACAGACTAGCACAGCAGATTTACTTATTTCACCTGGGTTGGAGTCAAGAGATACACCTGTTGGCACTGATCTAGGAGGCTACCAGGAAAAGTAAAAACAGAAACAGCTACGTGCAGTTCCTTCCAAGGCAGGGGTTGTTGAGATTTTTACTTTGCATTTAATACCACTATACATAGTTTGAATTTTTAACCTGTTAATGTATTTTTATTAAACGTAAATATGTAAACTTTTATAATAGAAAGAACACAATTTCAACCTGAAAGAATCTATGTTGACCAAACATTCAAGAATATAAGAGAATATTTGAAATATATATGAAATAAATACACTTATTTTTCTCTTACTATGAGTAGGTTGATTCTGAACCACAGAACAATCTCTACCTTCAAATATTTTTCTACCTTCAAATTTTTTTTCCAAGTAAGGAAAATAAGTTGGGTATAAACCTAACCTGAAACAATGACTTTAAATGGGCGTGATTTCTTGTACTCTTCCTTTTATGACAACTACGTTATCTTCCTTCTATGAGAGTCCCATCATCTCTAGAAACAGAGCTGGTTTTAATTCTGATATCCATAATTTACACACAAAACGGGAAGTGAGTTTTTGTGAGAACATGTATTTCTCTCCTTACTGAAACACTGCAGTTCCTGCTGAGAATCCTTGTCCACTCTCTCTTCTGGGCTGGGACAGCATTACCAAAGATGGCAACATGTTCTGGGCTGGTCTTTCCATGAAGAGTCTCATAAATCTCCTGCTGTAAGTGGCTGCAGTCCACCTTTTTCAGCCTGAAATGAAACACCACGGAGGCTGGAGTCCAATGCTAATGTATTAATCCAAAGTTTAAAAATGATATTATAAAATAAATTAGAGGAAATAATCCTTATTATTAGATATAGAAGACTGTCAGAAAACTTTCAGCAATATTAACATTACTTAGATTATAAAACTACTCCTAACTAGCATTGTCATTCAAAATATAAAAGTTGTCATATCAACATATTCCCTAGAGAGACAAAATTGTGGGAAATGATGTGGAAGCAAAGAGTTACCTGAGCTTGCATCCAGATACTGCATTCACTCCAAATTGTACTTCATATCTCTTAACAGAGCAAATTCCATCACCCTGGCTCTGTAAGAGGGTCATCTGAGGTAGAAAGCAATGGTCAAGAAGAGTATAACAGAATAAAAAGACGGCAGATTGGAAAATTTATGCTCTTATTGTTTCCTTAACACTATATTTTACCAATGTCATGACATTGTTCAAGTCACAAATACGTTTTTTTTCTCTAGTAATTAAAAAACACACAGAGACAGTAACTATTTTCCCAAAAAATGGCTAACCACATAGCAGTATAAAAATGTTTCATTAAAACAAACAGAAATGAGTCACTATCCTTACCTTCATCAGTTTAACACATTTTAAAGCCTTTGGTAGCAACAACTTTGAGAACATAATGTATTAATGGTTCAGTAAAGAAAGTCCTGAATACCTAAAAAAAATCAGGGGACCTCAGAATGGGGAAACCCAAAAAATCAGTAGCCACAGCTTTTCTCATTAGGCTGTAACAGGCTACACAGCTCCAGAAAAAGGATACAGAGTGACTTATATCGCCAGTTAGGGCCAAAAGTGGCTTCCCAACAATATAGCCAGGATTCCCACTTCTAGGACCAGTAAGAGAAGCAGCTGTGCTCTGTTGAAAAGCCTGCAGAAAGAGTGAAGGAAAGTCACCTACAGAGAAAAGCATGCTCTCACGAACCTTCCACTACTTGGCTTCATCCCGTTCTTTATGGAAATGCAGTAAGTTAGCTGCACCAAACAATCTGGCTCCCTTCCACAGTGGAGCATTTTGCGGAAGTTTCTTGCAAAACTTCCGTGTTTTACTTTTTATTCACTAAAATAGGTGCTGAGTGATCTGAAAATTGAAATTCACTACATGCTACTTCTACCAAGGATTACAACCAAGGATCGACCAACCCTGCTTCTCAAAAATTACCATCAGCTGACGCTATGTTCAGCCTGGCTGAAATGAAAGGAATTTAAACATAATTTAGAAATATCTTTTAATTAACTACAGATGTTTCCAGAGATAAACTGAGAGACATGAGACTTGGTTGATCACTTGAGGGCAGAGTGGAGAAGAAACAAGATTCTGCTGGGTTCAAAAAGAAGAAAGAAGTAGAAGAAAGCCAAAAGATGGTGATCAAGATTGGAAAGTCAGATTAAGTGGGAAATGAGTAAAATGCTGAATGCTGTCACATTATATTTTGACATATTCACAAATATATACAAATAAAAATTCATTGTAAGTATATAAACTCAAATAATGCAGAAATATAAAGAGTAAAAGTGAAAAACAAACAAAAATCTGCTGAATGCCCAGAAATATGAGAAAAGCTAGTTAAAGAATTTCTGTGGGAGGTAGGCTGAGTTTATGATTCAAAGTGACTATTTAAAAAAAGAGTTTGGATTTGAGACTAAAGTCCTGCTTCACTGGGGAGCCAGATAATCTGAGAAAATGTTACTGAATAAACAGTTGAATCTCTGTCATTTGTAATTAAATTATGAAATACGAAATGTTGAGGCCTCAACTGACAGATTGAACTAGGCCTTCATGTTCTTTTTTTTTTTTTTTTAGGCTGGTTGTGGAACCCTAGGCCTTCATATTCTTAATCTATTTTGCATGTATCACAGAAGCACGGGCACTATTTCTAATCCAGTATTTCCTCCCCTCTCAATCCCCTATAGCAGAAGGGCTCTAACCCTGAAGCGAATGAGAAAGTGTTGTTGTAAGGAAGTGCCTGGCTCGACAGTCAGGTTGGTTTGTCCAAAACTGACAGAGACTTTCTGGATTCCAAAAGTCCCATTGGTCTCTATCTCATAGATGACCTGAAATACAAAAGTAGAATTAATAAAAATTATTTAATGGGCCAATTATACAGAAGATTTTGTCTTAATAAGAGTATTATTATAACTGAATGAGGGTACAGCATAGTGACTAGTTTATTGTATATTTGAAAGTTAAGAGAGTAGATCTTAAAAGTTCTCATTTCAAGGAAAAATGGGTAACTGTATGGTGACGAATATCAACTAAATTTACTGTGGTAATCATTTCACTATATACATGTGTGTATATATATGTATATATGAAAACATCATGTTGTACACCTAAAACTAGTGATTATATCTCAATAAAAAAAATAACTGAATGAGGGAGACTACACAAGTAATCTTAAAAATGCCAAACACAAATACCATGAAAAGACAGAATTCATAATCTATCTACACATGCAAAGAGACTGGATAGAGCTCTTTGAAAGGGTTCATGGGAGAAGTAAGTTTATGGTAAGGATTGAAAGGGAAGAAAAATGAGTTTTGAAGGTGTGCCGAGGACGTGAGTAGAGAGGGAGCATGGAATGGACACGCAGTTTACTTGGCTCTCCCAATGTCTGAGGATGAATGAAGATAATAGCTGGAGATGGAATTCATAAGCAACTGAAGGTAACCTTAGATTTCTGAGCAGTCTTTACAATGATGTTTAAGGTAATTCTTCCTTCTGTAGGGTGATCAAAAGGGAGAATGGAGGAAAAGAAGTTTTTCAGATGATACTGATTTTGTCAACAGCAGAAAATGTGGTAAGAACTGTAATAAACCGCAAGTGGGTAAAGAAAGAGGAGTCAGAAGTAATTGTAATCTTTTGTACATGAAATACTGGAGGATGGTAGTAATGGAAACTGAAATATGGTAGGGAGGAAGGTGATGGGCTCAATTCTTGACATGTTAAGTTCCATGCACAAAAATTCATGTGGGGCTGGTCTGGTACTTAATGGAAGATGAGGCACCTCTGGTAATGTAGATCAACAAACATCAGTCCAGAATCTGAGGTTAGCGTCCTTACCTGGGAAACCACATTCTGACAAGTGTTTCCAGACAAGAGAGGAGAACCAGCTTGTGAGATAAGGGTTACAGGAACCTGGAACTAGCAAGGGAAAGAAGCAAATCAACTGAAATTGAAAGCAGTATTTTCTCTTCTAGCTACATATTATGCTGAAATGAGTATTTTTTATTTTTGACCACCCTCCTCTTTCCTTCCATTGCCAGCCTACAACTTAAGATCAAAAATCATTTTAAATCAGCACTTCTCAAAACATATTTCTCAGAACATTAATTCCACTAGATATAAGATAAAGGTTCTGTGGTCAAATAAATTTTACAAATTTTTGTGTTTTTTTTTAAGTTTTTATTTCCTTTAAGTAATCTCTACACCCAGTGTAGGGCTTGAATTCACAACCCCAAGATCAAGAGTTGCAAGCTTTACTGAACCAGCGCAAGGTGCCCCCAAATACATTTTAGAAATATTATATTTGGTATTCCCCTCTTAGAGAGTACCAAGTCCCTTTAGCACATTAAAGACTCTAAGAAGTCCACTCTAAATATAGTATTTAACTTTACTTAAGCCAATGTTTCCCAAACTTATCTAACACCTTATGAATTCGTATTTCATGTGATGCTTATTAATCATATAGAACATACATGGGAAAACAATGTTTTAGATTCACACTTAAGAGTTTGATACATCACACATAAATTTCCTTTCACAATTACAGTCTAGATTGAAATTGCCTCAGATGCAAAGGGACCAAATAGTCTCCTTCCTTTTCCCTGATAAACAGTGTCATACCTTCATATTCTGCAGATCAGTCATACCTTTTGGAACCTAGAAAAAGAGAATAGCAAGAACCGTGAGTGTGCATACACCTCAGAGAAAATCTCCAGGAGCTTGTGGTTTCACGTGTGGGGAGGAAAAATCAACATATTAGAATGATTCTTCTTTTCTACCTGACTCTTCTTTATACTAAAATGCTATGAGTAAAGCTGAGGGGAGGTTGGGCTATGACACATCTACTCTGAGCAGAGCTCTACTGAACAGCAAAAGCAAGAGGTTTTGGTGAAATAGTGAAATGTCATCCCTTGCCACCCTCCTAAGCCAATCCCATTATCCAGGAGGGTAGAATCTCTTATCCTGGATATATCCCCCAACTCTTTCATCTTTCTTCAGAGGGTAGGGTTTCTGGGCCCTCTGTTTTTTATGTAGTTCTTAGGCATTCTTTCAGTTCAGTGCTTTATCCACAACCCAATAGCAGGAAGCATGTGGACTTTATATCCACAACAGTGACAGTGGGGAGGGAAGGGATACCACCTTCAAGACTGAGAAGTTATAGTAAGAGGCAGCATTGAGGGCTGGATCTGAGGTGCAGCTACTTGTCAGGTTCTTGAAGAAACGAGCACAGGTTGTACTTTTACTCTCCAGGAAACCTTAGAACACAAAGAATTAAAGGAGTGATAAAAGAAAAAGCCTATTTTATTTTTGTGAAAAACAATTTTTTTAGTTTTTTTTTAAGTGATTTCTAAGAAAGCTTATTTTATGTTTCTTTAAAAAGATTTTATTTATTGATTTGATAGAGAGAGACATAGTGAGAGAGGGAACACAAGCAGGGGGGGCGGGAGAGGGAGAAGCAGGCTTCCCACGGAGCAGGGAGCCTGATGCGGGGCTCCATCCCAGGACCCTGGGATCATGACCTGAGCCAAAGGCAGATGCTTAACGACTGAGCCACCCAGGCGCCCCAGAAAGACCATTTTAAATGGAACAAAAACGCTGGCACTTCTGTTTTGGACTCACCTGCAGGATTGCTCTCAGCACAGAGCCCCCCAGCTCCAACTCCCGCAGGCTGCCTCAGCAAGCTGATTACAGACCACTTGGGGAAGTAAGTCAGAATGGGGTCCCCAGCCTGAACAAAGTATAGTAGAAATTTATTCAAGGTGAGATTGGACTGAACTCCACCAGAAAAGAAAAAGTAGAAACAAAAATTAACTCAAGGGCTTGTGAATGTGCAGACTACTGTCTTCTAAAAGAGCTTGACAATGGTTGACCCAGTTGCAGGGGTGTACCTTAAAGATACCTGGTCAACTGTCAGCCATGAGGGAAAAACCACACCAAACAATCCCATCCCTATCCCCAGGCTCACCCTGTAATGAGGTGGTGGCAACTTGGTTTGGAATGCTGAAGTGAATGATCCACTTCCAAACTCTGTAGCCAGGGCCTCGAAGTGGGTTGCACTGACCTTTTGGAGCTTCTGGAAATAGTTTAATTTTGCTAAAATGTTTTTTAAAAGATAAGGGGTTTAGATAAAAGAAAAATATTTATTTAAAAATATCTGGCACGAAAGTAACTGCTTTTAAAAAGTAATCTTATTGGGGCATCATACATACACAACAAAAGTTTGTAAATGCACTCATCTTAAGTGTAAACTCAAAAGAATTTTTACACACTGCTATACTTTTATTCCTACTACTCAGATTAAGTTATAGAACATTTTCCCAGAAGACTCACAATCAATAATACTCCACTTTTAAAGATAATAATTCTGATTTTTATCACCTTCTACTGCATGTATATTCTGTTAAAAGAACTACTGTTTTATTATTAAGATCTAAGGTAAGAATATGGCCAATGAATGCCAGGCAGTTCCAAGTCCCTGATGCCAGGAATGTGAGTGATTAGCAATTTGTGATGAAAACAGGAGTTCAATAATGCTCACATTTGCCCCATACCAGATTAGTCTCTAGCACAATAAACTGTTTCTGTTGGAACATGGCAAAGTTGGAGATAACATTAAATTCGTCCTCTCCTTCCTGTTTCTTCTAAACTTCAACTGACCAGTCCTAATAATAATGTTTCCATCTCTCAATATGAATTTGTTATGTTTCCCTCCTTTCACTTCAAATTTCTACATTTAAAATTTCAGACACTCCAAAGAGGTATATTCTGTAATAAGTCTATAATTTATATTATAACAATATAGAAATCTATTCAAGTTCCTGCAGCCATCTCCTTACGGCTAACAAGGATGACTGAAATTAAAGTTCTGTATGGGTTTTCTGTTCCACAGCCAAGAGGGCATAAGAAATTGCAAATGTTCACAATAAGAGGAGGGGGCAAGTAGAAAGGTAGAAAAGGGCAGATGATAGAAATTCAACAGACAAAAGAAAAGTTCAAAAAAAACAAAAGTTCAAACACAAAGCCAATTTTCAACAAATGTTAGGTAACAAGAATAGCCAACACATCTCTACTCACAGTTGTTCACATGGACACAAAACTGCCTAATTCCATTTGAATCCATGAAAACTCTTGAAGGAAATGGGGAATTACTCCTGAAGATAAGAGAGTTGTCCACGCACATCCAACTTGAAGACCTGAGAGGAAATAGGATGAAGAACAGATACATTTAGAAGCGGAGGGTTAGGTCCAAAAAGGTGCTGCATGGATGTCAGTCAATGCCTAAGAGAGTCCTCCTTGGCCAGCCACAGGCCAACACAAAGGTCCTATTCTATTGGACTGCCCTGCTCTAGAGAATTCGAGGAGGAACTTCACTCCTGGGAAAAACCAAGGTAATTCCACTTATAGAAATGGAAGTGGGGGCTGAAGGCAGGAAAGATAACTCTTCCTACTTCCAAATATGACCTATTCTAGGGTCCCAGTTTTCTTAGGATTCAACCGTCATATGGCAGCTCACCTCACGCTGCCTGGAAGGCAGAAGGAGAAAACCGTCCTCGGATGGAGAAGATAGCAGTCCTTGTCGCAGCAGCAATTTATGTCGCAGGTACCAGGGGTCAAGTCACAGACACAGACCGGTAAGACTATGAAGATAAAGCAGAGCGAACGGGATGAGGATTCCCAAACTTCCAAGCGCGAATTCCCCTCTTCCGAGAGCCCCACTCCTCACTTTGTGGAAATTCACTTTGCTCACACAATTTTAGATCCAAGTCAGTGGTTTCCATCCCCACATCTCCTCTCCTAACCTGGGAAGAGGTCTACGGTCCCATTCCCAGGTGCAGAGGGGGTCACGACCGTAGGGTCCACCGTAGAGATCCCAGACACAGGCCAGGGAGTTTCAGACCCCTCCGAGGACGACTGAAGGGTCCCCCCCGGCGACCCTGGCCCCACGTCCGAAGGGGTGGGCACATCCCCTGACGGGGAGAAAGAGGGCTGAGGCCAGATGCCCTCGGGGACCATCAGGAAGAACACCTGCAGTAGCGCGAGCTGCGAGGTGCACATGGGGCGAGATAAACACGGGGAAGTCAAGACCCCCACGAAATCAAAGCCGGTTTCAGCGGTCGCCAGGCGCTTCGCGAGAGGGTGGATGGGAGGAGTCGCATCTCGTCTGACGTCATCCGCATGCATCTGCTCATTGGCTCAAGGCGATGGCTGAAAGCTCTCCAGCCAATAGAAAGCGGCGTTGTTACAGCTTTCCAGCAGCTTTTAGTGTGCGCCCTCCTCCTTAGGCCAGGCCGCGCACCGCCTCTGTCGCTTGGTAACGACCAAACTCGCGGAGGAGCTCTTGCTTCTTCTCTCCGCTAGGTGACAGTAGAAGGTCAGCGGAACGAGAGGTGCAGCGGAGTGCCGCGCCGGCGTAGCGGCCCACAGGACGGAGCCCTTCCTCCAAGAGGGAAACCCCAGAGGCTGGAACGAGAATTGCTTATCTTTTCCACCCCGGATTCTAAAGGTGAGAAACTCTTAAGGAAGGATAATGATCTCGGGAAGGAAAATACACAGAAGGTCATATACACCTAAAACAACAACAACAAAAAAAACCTCCCTCTAAATATTGTATTTTTTTGGAAACAGAAAGATTAGGCTTCTTAAATTTTAACGTTGAGAAATATAAAAGAATATAAACCTCAATAAATGCTGCAGTCATTAACTGTGGACTGCAGAGTTGTTATTAGAGAAAATAGAGAAGGGAGTGAGAAATGGGGTAGGAAAAATGTGAGAAGCTAGGGAGAGAGAGTAAGGAAAGAAGACAGATTTTCTAGGAGCTGAAGGGAAAATAAGACGCAGGAATGGAAATAGCCAAGGGATAGAGAAGAAAACTTATCTTTTTGCCATTATAATTGCCACTTGTTGTAACCCTTTTCGGGAAGTTTTGGTCTTTCCCAGGAGTGGCGGCGTTTTCTTCTGATTCTCTAGAGCAGCACTGTCCAATAGAACTTCCTGCAGAGTTGGAAACGTTCTCTGTCTACACCCGGTTCAATATGGCAGCCACGGGCTGTGTGTGGCTACTGCGCCCTGGAAACGTGGCTCCTGTGACTAAGGGGCTGAATTTAAAATTTTTAAGTAATTCAAAGTTGAATAACTACATGTGACTAGCAGCTACCATATTGGACAGTACAACTCTGGATAATCAAAATCTTGCTCCCGCTAGACCCAGTGTTTTCCTCAGTCCGTACAGGTCCGACATCTGGATTATTGCAGTTGCTTAGTTCAGAGATATAAATGGAGATATGTTAAGAGTTGTCTAAAATCTGGTATACTTACCTAAAATCTAGCCAATACCTCCTTTTCCAAGTGAATCACTTAGGCAGATAAATTTTAGGACCCCTGACCTTTCTCACATTCTCTGACAAGGTACTGACTTCTAAAGTTTTGAAGTCAGTAGCTAAATGTATTTCTGTGTTATAAATGTCCTCAAACATATTTATTGATTTAATTTTTATTGAAGCATGAGTAACATAAATGTTTCAGGTGTACAGTGTATTGATTCAACAATTCTATATATTACCCCATGCTCACTATGGTAAACGTAATCACCATCTGTCACCCAACAACATTATTACGATATTATTATTTTTTAAGATTTTATTTATTTATTTGACAGAGAGAGAGAGAGCACAAGCAGGGGGAGCAGCAGAGGGAGAGGGAGAAGCAGGCTCCCCGCTGAGCAGGGATTCCCATCGTGGGGCTGGATCCCAGGAGCTTGGGATCATAACCTTAGCCAAACGCAGCTGCTTAACCAACTGAGCCACCCAGGTGCCCCTATGATATTATTGACTATATTCCCTATGCTATACTTTTTGTCTCTGTGACTTATTTATTTTATAGCTGGAAGTCAAACATATTTTCATATGATTGTATGATAGACTGCTATAAGAGATATGTATATTTGTGTTTGGCCAGAAACATTTATCTACCTTATTAGTAATTTCTGTAGGAAAGGACCAAATTCAAATTATTCAAATTATTCAAATTATATATATTGACCAGAATATAAACTCCACAAACCAGGGGGTTTTGTCTGTTTTGTTAACTGATATGTCCCATGCCTAGAACAGTACCTAGGACATGTTAGATGTGCATTAAATATTTTTCAAAAGATTGTTTTGTTGAACTCTTTGGGTTTAACTCAAGAATATTTAGAGTTTATATTATTTCAGGATTGCATTTATTTATATAAAATTTCCATTGTACAACCACCTGGAGATTATTTTGGATTTAAAGATTTGGAATTTACACTGTAACAATCAAGGTAAATCAATGATAAATTATTCCTGAATTTATTAGTGTTGGCAAAAGTCTGTTGATTGAAGTAATTTTAGGGTTGAGTACAAGGAAATAACATCTCAGGATCTTTTTTCTTTTTTCATCTCAGGATCTTTCTGAATTGTTTTTTCTTATTTTTAATTTTAGCACTTAACAAATTTTTAAAAATAGTTACTTTACCCCTCATTTTTGTTATAGTTGAGCAATAATACTCTTTCTGTTGTTGCTGTTGTTATGTTTGTAGGAATCTATGATACAGAACTCTCAATTCTTTTGAGATCTAATATTAAGACCTAAAAGGTAATTTTGATGAGGGAGAATGGAATTTATTCACACATGTCCTGCAGATGCCAGTTTTAACATGGAAACCATGTCTTAAATTGAAATAGCTTAATATGACATCACTTCAGAGGCAAAGATTTCCAAATTAGATCATATGATACTAGCAGCTGTCTGTGTTTGGTATTAAAAGAGTTCAATATGTACTTAAAAATTTAACTGAGATTGAATCAGGATGGCCAACTGAGAGCAAGTTCTAGCCTCTAGCCTCTCCCAAATCCTCCCCTCCTTCCCAAATCTAGAAATTACAAAAAAAGTTACATGGGTACACAAACTCATATGCATCCATGCATGTACCTTAATATTGAAAAACACGAAGGGGTGCTCTCAGTGGACCAGGCATTATGAGAATCCTTGAAAAATAGGAAGCAGATGGGATTGGATTGAAGGTAGACAAACAAAAGTTGCATAACAGAGGCTTAATGCAGAAATGCAGGTGGCTCTTGGGGACGGTCTAGGTACAAAGAAAAAAAAAGATTGGCATCAGTAGGGCCCTTGGACAACATGTGAGTTATTGATTGAGGTACCGCTATAAGAAGAGACAGTCCGCCTCTCAGCCTTACTCCCACTTGCTCATGCAGTGGGTAGCAAAAGAACTTGCTCTACAGGGGACAGGGGCAGTCCATGTAGGTACTTTTGCTGAAAAGCTGTGATGGCTTTTGATATCTGGGAGGAAGAGAGAGACTTCATATCTTGAAGACTGATACTAGCTCACCTTGTGAAGCTGCACATGCCGCATTCCTCCTTCAAAACCCTCAAGGCAGAATGAAAAAGAGAAAATCTGCAAAAAATATAGGTTAAAAGACCTTACCTTAAACAGAGAATAATAAGACTTGAACCTTTTTTTTCTTTAAAGATTTTATTTATTTATTTGAGAGAGAGCATGAGTGGGGGAAGGGGCAGAGGGAGAAGCAGACTCTCTGCTGAGCATGGAGCCCGACGCGGGGCTTGATCCCAGGACCCCAAGATCATGACCTGAGCTGAAGGCAGACACTTAACCAACTAAATGCCCCATTGAACTTGACTTTTTATTTTTATTTTTTATTTTATTTTTAAAGATTTCATTTATTTGACAGAGAGAGAGACAGCGAGAGAGGGAACACAAGCAGGGGTAGTGGGAGAGGGAGAAGCAGGCTTCCCGTTGAGCAGGGAGCCCGATGTGGGGCTAGAACCCAGGACTCTGGGATCATGACCTGAGCCAAAGGCAGACGCTTAACGACTGAGCCACCCAGGTGTCCCTGAACTTGACTTTTTAACAGAAACGAGGAAAGCCTGGGTGCCTGGGTGGCTCAGTCTGTTAAGTGTCTGCCTTGGCTTCAGGTCCTGATCCCAGGGTCCTGGGATCGAGCCCCGCATTGGGCTCCTTGCTCGGTGGAGAGCCTGCTTCTCCCTCTTCCTTTGCTGCTCCTCCTGCTCGTGCTCGCTCGCTTGTTCTCACTCTATCTCAAATAAATAAATACAATCTTAAAAAAAAAAGAAATGAGGAAAACCATAAAAAGTTGAGTAAGGTCTTAGAAGAAGCTACACTATAATTCTGTACCTAGCAAAATATCCTTCAGAAATGACGATAAGATAAAAATGTGTTTAGAAAACAAGCATTGAGAAAGAAGATCACCACCAACAAACCCACACAAAGAATTGCTAAAGGGAGTTATTCAGGCTAAAGGGAAAATGATCCCAGATGGAAGCACAGAAATGCAGGAATAAGAGCAATGAGAAAGATAAACACAAGGTCAATATATAAACTCAATTATATTATAAATATCACCTGAAGTTTTAGATGGTAAAATTTATAATAACAAAAAATTAAATACCTAGGAATAAATCTATGATCGTGCAAGATCTCTGCATATCAAACTGTATATGATTGCTGAGAGGAAATTAAATAAAACCTAAATAAATGGAGAGCTACACAAAATTAATGGCTAGGAAGACTTATGAATGAAAACATGTCAGTTCTCCCAAATTGATGTATAGATTCATTGCAGTCCTAGTAAAAATCCCAGCATTTTTTGGTAAAAACGGACAAGCTGATTTCAAATGTCATATGTAATTGCAAAAGGCTAAGAATAGCCAAGAGAATCTTGAAGAAGAACAAAGTTGGAGGGCCTGTTCCTACTATATATTATCTCTTATTATTAAGATAAAATAATTACTAGAACAAAATGGTATGGCTTTGGCTGTAAGAGGGTCAGATAGACCAATGGAAAAGAATGGAGTCCAGAAACAGACCTACACATATGTGGTCACTTGATTTATGACAAAAATGATACTACAGTGCAGTGAGGGAAGGGTAATCTTGTCAGTAAGTTGTGCTGGATATCAATTGGATATTCATACAGACAACAGTGTATCTTGACTCCTAGCTATACATACCCAAACATTAATTTCATATGGACTGTAGACAGTAAAACAATAAAGTTGCTACAAGAGAACATCGGAGAATATTCTTATGAT